TCTGATAAGAGAGGCAGGTGTCCCAGGCAGCGGCTCAGGCTGCTGTGCCACAATGCCTGCTTGAACTTTTTGCAGGCCCCATGTAGTTGTTCTATATAGAGGAAGTATATAGGATATAGCCCCCTATATGAGAACATACAGTCAATTTCATAGTGTGTTCTGTAAAGTCCCAAGAACCCTGAATCAGAGAATATTGAATCATTGACCTTAGGGAAATGTAGTGAGTGTTAAGTTTCTTCAGACCTCTGCCAGAACATTTTCATCAAGCCATCAGTATACAACTTTGTTTTATATGTTTCTACGTAAGCATGATCTTATTTAATATGTTGTCAACTCATCACCATTAAACCCACAGTCAATGCCAGTATAACTCATGCCTATATAAAGCACATATGTTTTTTCTTGGAGGCACATCACAGCCATTATTTTTTTTTTTTAAAGTTTGAAGGATAGAGTGTCAGAGAGCTTTCATTTGCTGGTTCTCTCCCCAGATGCCTGCAGCAGCCAAGACTGGGCCAGACCAAAGCTAGGAGCCAGGAATTCCATCGGGTCTCCTTCACGGGTGACAGTGGGAATCATCTGCTGCCTCTCAGGGTGTGCATTAGCAGGAAGCTGTATGAGAAGTGGTGGCAGGACTGACACTCAGACACTTCTGAGTGCCATAAAGCCTGCCCCATCACAGCCTTCTTGCACTAAGGAGCACTAGACAGTACTTGAGGACTATGTTTGGATGCTTTTTTAAAAAAACAAAAACAAAAACAAAAAATATTTTCTAGAGGAATTTTGAGTTCACAGCATAATTGAGCAGGGAGAGTACAGAAAGTCCTCATATATTCCCTTTCCTCACACATGTATAACCTCCCTTGGGGACCATTTTAAACAGCAGAGTCTCCAACAAAAAGCACAAAAATGTGGCACTTCATAGGTGAAAGGGATGCTTGTTTACAGTATAAGACTCAAGTCAGAAAGGCAGAGCAGTGCCTTGTCCCACCTGCCTCCCTGCCCTGCACCATGGGGATCGACTTTGGAGTCACCAGTGAGCTTCAGGGAATAGGCAAAGTTGCAGCTAGGAAGCCATGAAGAAATAATGAGAAATGGCTGTGTACTGTTTTAGTTATGGTGGGTTCATAGAATGTGTCAGTATCTGAAGAAGCAAGTCCCTCATTTATTTTTTGAGAATTTATTAGTTACAACTGTTAAAATTCAAAAATGGAAAGAGAAACTAATTAAAAATGGGCAAAGGATTTGGTAGACATTTAGGAAGATACAGAGACATGTGCTCATGGGAAGAAGCTCAGTGTCCTTATCGATCAGGGAAATGCAAATGCAAACCACCAGTGCTGCTTACGTCCATGAGAACGGCTCTAATGCAAACTACAGACAGTAACAAGCACTGGCGGTGGCACGGAGAAACGTGCCCACACCCATTGCTTATGAAGTGTGAGACAGCGTAACTTCTTTGAAAGACAGCTTGGCAGTCCTCAGAAAGTTAAACATTAGGGTTATCATGTTAGCTAGTTATTTCCACTCCTGGGTATATACCCTAGAGACCTGAGAACATGAGTCCACACAGATTGTTCATAGGAACATTATTCATAGTCACCCACAGTGGTGACAGCCCAACTGCCCATTAGCTGAGAGTGAGTAAACTAATATGGTATTAATATATATATTATGGTGTATATATACATATATGGTATGAATATATATATTATGTAATGTGGTATGAATATATATTCATATATATATATGGAATATTAGTAGTAAGGAAGGAGAGGTTAGTGATAGCTACTATAACAGGCATGAGCCTTGGAAACATCATGCTTAAAGCCAGGCACAAACAGCCCCATACTGTATGACTCCACTTAGGTGAATTATCTGAATGGTCAAACCCATAGAGACCAAGAACAGGTTAGTGATTGCTTAGGGCTAGAGGGAAAGGGCTCAGAATTGGGAATTACTGCTAATGGGTATGGAATTTCTTCTGGAGTTGACGAAAGTAATCTCAAAATTAGATAGTGGTGATGGTTGACCACTGAAAATAGTAGAATCCACTGAGTTGCACATTAAGTGGGTGAATTTTATTATGTGAATTATAATAAAACAAAAAAAATTTTTTTTTTTGACAGGCAGAGTGGACAGTGAGAGAGAGAGACAGAGAGAAGGGTCTTCCTTTGCCGTTGGTTCACCCTCCAATGGCCGCCACGGCCGGCATGCTGCGGCCGGCGCACCACGCTGCCGATGGCAGGAGCCAGGTGCTTCTCCTGGTCTCCCATGGGGTGCAGGGCCCAAGTACTTGGGCCATCCTCCACTGCACTCCTGGGTCACAGCAGAGAGCTGGCCTGGAAGAGGGGCAACCAGGACAGAATCCGGAGCCCCAACCGGGACTAGAACCCGGTGTGCTGGCGCCGCAAGGCTGAGGATTAGCCTAGTGAGCCATGGCGCCAGCCTAAAAAAATTTTTTTTACAAATTTACTTATTTGTTTGAAAGGTTAAGTGACAAAGAGAGACAGGTATCTTCCAATTGTCTTCCTCAGTTGTCTGCATTAGCTAGGCTAGACCAAAGCCAGAACCAAGGAAACCTATCTGGGTCTCCCATGTGGGTGGCAGGGACCCAAGTACTTAGGACATCATTCACTGCCTCCCAGGTGCATTAAGCAGGAAGCTGGATTAGAAGCGCAGAGTAGCTGGGACTTGAACCAGGCACTGTGATATAGGCACAGGTGTCCCGAGCAGTAGCTTAACCCACTGGGATATAATGGCTGCCCATAGAGCTGTTTTCTAAAAATGTGTTGTCTGTGTAGGGAAAGCAAAGTGATACTCTTTGCCTCCAGTCCTGCTGTCCTCCTGCCCAGCGTAGAGACAGGCTTAGGCTGTTAGCAGCCCAGGGGCGGTGTGGGGTGAAGGTCTTCAGGTCATAATTTGCTCAGAGCCTGTGGTGTAAGGCTCTTACTATATTCTTTACCTGTTCCTGGGCCTGAGGGGAGTGTCCTATACAGATTTTTTTTTTTTTTTTTTTTTGACAGAGTGGACAGTGAGAGAGAGAGACAGAAAGACAGGTCTTCCTTTGCCGTTGGTTCACCCTCCAATGGCCGCCGCGGCGCATTGCGCTGATCCGAAGGCAGGAGCCAGGTGCTTCTCCTGGTCTCCCATGCGGGTGCAGGGCCCAAGACTTGGGCCATCCTCCACTGCACTCCCTGGCCACAGCAGAGAGCTGGCCTGGAAGAGGGGCAAGCGGGACAGAATCCGGCACCCCGATCGGGACTAGAACCCAGAGTGCCGGCGCCACAAGGCGGAGGAGGATTAGCCTATTGAGCCGCGGCGCCGGCTTCCTGTACAGATTTTAATTAGTGACCATACTTTGTAATTTATTTATATTATCCGTGGTGCCATGGGCAGAGAGGGGGTTATTGCCTATTGCTGTTCCACACATTTACTCTTCTAGATGAGCTTTAAAATCCAGTTGTTGGGGTTGGTGCTGTGGTGTAGTGGGCTAAGCCTCCACCTGTGGCACCAGAAATCCCATAAGGGTGCCAGTTCAAGACCTGGCTGCTCCTCTTTTGATCCAGCTCTCTGCTGCGGCCTGGGAAGGCAGTGGAAGATGGCCCAAGTGCTTGGGCCCCCACACCCGTGTGGGAGACCTGGAGGAGGCTCCTGGCTCCTGGCTTCAGATCGGCTCAGCTCCGGCTGGGAAGTGAACCAGCAGATGGAAAACCTTTCTCTCTGTCTCTCCCTCTGCCTGTCTGTAACTCTGCCTCTCAAATAAATAAATTAAATCTTAAAAAAAAAATCCAGTTGTCACAGCCCCACCCTATCCCTGCCTTCACTAATAAGAAACCCTAGGTGATTCCAAGTTGCATTAAATTTATATACATGGTTTTGGGGACATTTGACATCTTTAAATTTGGTCTTTCCATCCAAGAGCATAGTGTGCTACATTTCTTTATTCTTTTGGTTCTTATTTTCTATCCTTCAGTAAATTTTTACATTTTTACAGTTCTTGTTAAATTTATTACTACTTATTCTGAGCGAGATGATTTTCTACTCCAGTTTCTAACTTGTGTGTAGCTAGTAAAGTAAGAAAGCTATTGAGGTTTACATATCTAGACCTCTGTCTCTTGTGTTCTGCCGCCTTGTCCAGTCCTTTTTGGTATTAGCACACTTTCACTGTGCTTCTCAGACTTTCAGGGACCGCGAGGCTCAGGGCGTTCTGAGTTTCTAAGATGTCCTGTCTTTGCTCTCCTTTTTGTTCTTGACCTCCCTTCACTGGGTCAGCTTCCTGTACCTGATCTTCAAGGCATCTCTACCTGAAAACCCCAAGAATATCTGTAGCTCAAAATAAATTAGAATGAAATAAATCACAATTAAAATAATCTCCTTCCTCGTCGGTTTCAAAGTTGTTTGCTCCCCAATTCTGAAGCACCTCTGTGCAAATTAGAGGAAGGTCCCTCTTTCTCCTGACACTTCACTCTCCACTCTTGGGTAAATGT